CCCTCAGCTCACCCCCACCTTCCCTAGCCAAGGGGAACCCCTCTCTGCCTTACTACCCTGCCCCCCCGGCTGCTGCATCTTCATTTTATTTTAATACCCATATTTTCCACACACCCCTCTTTTATACTTTTCCACAGGGGTGGACCAGCAAGACCATAGGTAGCGGAAGGGTTCCCCTCCTCCTCCTCCTCCCCACCCCTTAAGGGGCGGTGATCGTGGCGGAGAGGAAGAAAAGGATGCCACGGAAGCTGTTGTTGCCTTATAAATCTGTTTTTTCTCACTTTCGAGCTCCACGGGGGTCGCATGACTCTTTGGCGATGACCGCAGCCAGAAGTGGCTACCGGGTCTTCTCGGCCAACTCCACGGCAGCCTGCACCGAGCTGGCGAAGAGGATCACGGAGTAAGTTCCCTCTCTTTCAAGTTTCTTTGCATCCTTCCCCCCTCTCCTTAGCTCCTCCGAGCAGGCAGGCTTTTTTCAGAGCGGCTGGAGAGGCTTTTGCCATCCTCCTGCCTTCTGAAGCCAACGGTGTCTGCTGCAAAGACCTTTGCCGCAGAGGTTTTGCACCGAGAGCGTTCGGCAGCTCTGCCCTTCTCCTCCTTGGCGCCGGCGCATCCCTCCCACAACTCAAATTTGAACCAGCGACAAAAATGGACCAGCTGCTTTCTGCCTCTTGCGCCTCTGACATCCATTTCAATGCTGGAAGGGCCAGGTTGGAGCAAAAGCTGTTACTTTTGGGGAAGGAGAAGGTGAAATTCGGCTGAACAAACCTCAGAAAGCCTTTTAACTGCTTTGGGAGATGCTCAAAACTTTCTGTGCTGCTTTTCGTGGGGATGGGCTGGTGACCTGGTGTGCTTAACAGCTTCACGGCTCCGGGCATGGGGAGCATTGCCTGTGCAGACCTCGGTGCAACGCCAGCAATTGCACTAACCAAGGAGGATTACTGAATCTGCGTTTCGGTGGGGTAGGAGAGGTGGGCAGCACATGCTAAAAAAAGAGAGTTTAGTTTAGGGATAGAAGCGTGCCCCCCTTCTTTTTTTTTTTCAGCCCATTGATTTGGGCAGAATTTGACCTTGACTTGGCAGGGATGGATGCGCTGGGTCCTGCTGCAGGAGGTGTGTAACAGCTGGCTCCAAAATGGGTCTCTTGCTGCACAGAAGAGCACTGAGTTACCCTGATGCTTGATTTTTTGTTTTGAATTAGCTTGGTTCAAATCGGGGTGCTGTCAGCCAAAGGGGCTTCTCTGAGACCGGGATCTGGGTATTGGGGAGCTGCCATCCTAAAGCAGGATTTGGGTTTCCTTTCTGCTTCTTCTAAGCTACGGTTCATAGGAAGCTGCTCCCAAAATTTGAGGAGGCTCGGTCCTTGTTTGTTTGCCTGCCACAGCAGATAGCATCCTTGCTGCCCCTTAGGCAGCTGCTGGCCTGTTCCTGTCTCCAAGGGTGTGCTTAAATTGGGAACATTACTAAATACAGGTGTGCTGCCACCTTAAACTGGAAGAACATTTTGCTATTTGTCCACCTAGCTCGATAAACAGAGTGTTCAATCCTTAGCGCAGATTATCTCTGTGAAGCTGACTTGGCTGTTTGGCTGGGATTGCTACTGCTGATGGGACAAGCATTGGATAATAGTGATAGTGGTCTTTGGGTGTGAGGCGGAGAGGGAAATCCTTGTGTTTGGGAATGGAAAGGGTTTTTTGAGGGGGTTCAGGTATTTTTGCTATGTTTGGTCAGTTTCGTATCCCTTTCCCTTCACTGATACAACTCTGAAAATAAAATCTCTCTCTATAAAAAAAGTAAGTTTTGCTGCAACAGATGGGACATGGTTTTACAAGACTTGTCCTGTTGCATCAACATGGAACATAACAGAATTCCCCTGGGGACGAGCTCCAAGTTCTCAAGACTGAAAGAGCAAACGGGCAATCTTTATTCACTGCTCTTTGTCTTAAAAATAACTCGCTTTTTTTTTTTTAAAGATGTAGTGAGAAGAGACACGGAGCAGGCTTCCCCAGGCTGTGGCGTGCACAGCCGGCTGTGTGATGCGCTGCTGTAACCCTCTGCAGGGTTCCCAGCAATGCTGTGGGGGTGAATGACAGTGGGATCCAGAGAGCAACCTCCTGGCTGTCCTTCACGAAGTAAACCTTTAATAGAGGTAGTGTGGGCTTTATGCCTTGGCTTTAACGTCAGCGAGGAAGTTGGATGCTCTGCTGGTTGTATGAGCACAACAGTGTGATAGCAGCTACTGCTTAAACTGAGACTTAAGGACACTTAGTTTTCCTGTCTGTAAAATGGGAGTAGCAACCACTCTGAAATGGAAAGGTGTGAAGCATTATATGCGGATGAGGTTTTGTTGGAGGAGGGTGCAAAATGTGAAACCATTAGCAGTACGGATTTGCCCACAGTAAAAAAATCTCCCCAAAATAAAGGTATTTTCAGCATCTTGTGCAGTGGTTTTGCCCTGACTTCCCTTAGGAGCTCAGGGGCTGTTTCAACACGTTTGTAATAAATCACTTGTTTTTTCAGGTTGCAAAAGATGTGTGACTGCTGGCTTTCCCCCTGTGTCACATCCCAGCCTGTACTTTGCTGGGGAGGGCAGTTGCGCCTTTTAATAGAGTTGGAGCAGTCTTGTAAGGGTGAGTCTGTCCTCTAATATTGTGCGTTCTTTTTAAAGTTTTTTTATGACCTTTAGTATAAGTAGTAAAAGAACTTTAAAACAACACGCAATATTAGGAGTAGGGCCCCTTGAGGCACTTGTCCACCTAGGCTCTGTTGCTCTTTGCCTGTAGGTATGATGTTAAAATGGATACTTGAGGAGTCCTGGCTTATCCTTTTTTAAAATCTCAAGCCTGGGGAGGAGCAGTGTGACCTAAACTTGAAGCTCTTCGATCTCCCCGCTTCATTTACTGCAAAACTTCCAGAGTTAGTTTTGATTCAGGCTTTGGGCGTAGCATTCTGGCACGCTTCTGATCTTTACAATTTCCCATTATGTCTTCTTGCCTGGTCGTAGGATGAGTGACTAAATGGTTAGTCTAACTTTCACTTTTGAGTTTACAGAGCTTTTGTTTACTTTAGCATCTGCCAGGGAGAGGAGATGGTGCTGGCCTATGAGAACCAAACACCTTTTGAAACTTTAAATAACAAAGGTGCTACTTAGATTCAGGACCATTGAAACATAAATAAACCCGTATGTTTACTTGCATCTTATAAATTGAGAGGGGTGATTTTTTTTTTTTTTAAATTCTTTTCAAATGGAAAGGAAACTGCTGTAATTAGGACACTTGGCACCTGATTACAGGCTAAAGAGAATTTCTGTGACCAGTGCTGATCCCTAATGGGCCTTGTGTGCTGCTGGGGGAAGGGAGGTCTAGCAAGTCTTTTTAATCTCTGGAGTCCCAATAGATGCATTTAGATCTGCCTCTGACTGCAGTATTTGGCACAGAGGGTACAAATACTACATTCCACTCCCTGCTTGTGTGTTTGGGTTGGAGAGGATTGCCGATTGAAGCTTGCTAATGCCTCCCCAGTGCTCCTTCGGGTGTGTGTTATGTGGGTACGTGATACTATCGTAAACTCATTGCAGCCTGTGGATGTGAGTGTTCTAGACATTCATTTGGTTTGCAGCACAGAAAATGCCGGTGAGCTAAATGTAAAAGCAATGCCGTGGGCCTAAACAACACGGAATAATGAGGAAAAGATGGAGACTTGTGTCCTGATCTGTGGTTGTAGGGAGCTGGGTACAGAACACTAAAACCAGGGTGGTGTTTTCTGTGACTGAGCGGGAGGTGAGCCCTCCTTTCAGAAGAGACAGTATGTTAGGAGGACTTGCAGCAACCTCCCTCAGCTGAAGGAGAATTTCTGATGGGATAGAGGAAGAGTAATGTCAGCCTTCCTCATTAGGTCATCTTGCCAGCATGTGAGAGGATGTCACGGGGGAGTCGGATCACAGTAACCTTGTGATGCTGCTCTCCCCCATCTCCAAACCCTGTCTTGGTCTTCTGGAAAGAGCTCTTGCGTGATGCTATGGGAAGAGAGGAGGTGGCACCAACTCTTTTCCATCTCAGAAGATGCAGCGCTGTGGCAGGAGGCTAACAAATGTTACAGGGTGAGACTGCATCAAAGGATTTTGGAAAGAGAAAAGAATAACCAGCTAAAAAGTAGTGTAGTTGGAGAGGGTTACGGGGGGGGCGGTGCTGGAGTAGGGTGAGCGTGGAGCAGTTGGGCTTGGAGATTTTCTGTGCAGCTTAGGTGGAGCATGTAACGTGGCTGAGCAGATTGGCTTTGCATGGTAGCTTTCTGTGCTGGCCAGCACCAGGTTTAGGGGAAGTTCCTTTGTGAGGAGCAGACTGGGAGGGCTAGAGGAAAATCTGCATGGTGTTTACTGGTAGTTCAGCTGCACGGCTTTGGCATGGCTGGAACAAATGATGCAAGCGCTGGATGGCTATGGGTACAAGTGGCAGATGAGCAGCCAGGACTGTTCAAGTATCCAGTCATGCCAGGTGGATGGAGAGAGGTAAAGGAGAGCTCAGATATTGTAAGGACATTTGAAATAGGATATTGCCTTGTATCCAGGAAGCTGCCGTTTCCTTTCCCTTTCCTGTCTTGTTCTTCAGGTGGGAGATTAGTACACCGAAGAGCTGCCACAGTGCTAGCTGGACCAGTTGACTGATCTTTATTCAAAGATTTGCTCAAGCTTCAAAAGCTGTGGCTTGCTTTGGCCACGGTCAAGCTCAGAGCAGATCCTCTGCTGTCAGCTCCAGCTCCTTGTGGAGTCTGTAGGTGTAGGGAGAGACGGGTATTTGCAGAGCTGAGACCAGTAAAAGTATAATGAAGATACTGACAAAATAAAAACCTATCATAGTCAAGGGCATTGTCTGTATGCAGATTTATCTTCAAATTGAATGTTTGTACCGCGAGCTGGCTGGAAGCTTCCTTTGGAGATAACTTTACAAATATCTTTTATGTGCTTGTCACAGAGTAGGAGAAGGAAACACAGCCTGGGCTGAGAGACCTTCCCAGCGGTACTGAAACATGCTTTGATGGAATGAAATACTGCAAGTGCACTTGCCTCTTGAATTTTGATTCAGCTAAATGTCAAGTCTCTTTTAACTGACTGTCCTTTGTCTTGAGAGCCTGATACAGTGGTTTCTGACAGTCTTCAGAGGAGCATTTTAAGGTACAGTCTAAAACAGCCTTGTGGTGTTGCCTGAAATACTGCAGTGTGTCACTTCCTCATTAAAGTATAGGTGACTTCTGAGCTGTTCACACTTAGGCTGTGAATTTGAGACAGATTTTATAAACACTCTTGTTTCCGCAGCTTAATATCCTCTTGGCATGCGTTGAGACTGCAGAAGGTTAGATCATCTTTCCCAGGCAATGTTTACAGTGAGAGAGAGTCCAGATCAATATAAATTTTTACTGGCCAATTGCTCTGAGTAGGATTTTTAAAGCCTTAAAGAGAATTTTCCTCTTAGATGCTATCAGGTCCTAGAGGAGTCAGTTTAGTGATGGAGCTAGTGCGAGGACGGCAGAGCAGAGTGGGGAGCAGGGCTTTCCCCGTCAGGAGCAGTAAGTGGTCACACGAGGAAAGCTTACACTGAGACAGCGTTAAAAACTTTACAAGCTGGGAGCAGCCTGGAGTACTAATACCTTGATCCTGCTGTGCCCGGCCCTCTGCACTGAGCTTGGCAGAACTGTATGTGCATAGCTTTTTTTAACAGATCCCAGTTCTGAAGACTGCTGCTTTTAAAAACAAATGCTAAACTGAGTTTCTGTCTCTCTCGGATGGAGAAGGGAGCTTCCAGAAGTGAACTCCTCCTCTGATGTCCACTCGGCGCTGGTTAACAACCGAGATTTCTGCAAATACTGTAAAATCAGCCTGACCATTCTCCAGTCTTACACACTTCAGTATTGGCAAAAGCCCCTGCCTCCCTGTAGCCAAATACTGCACCACACTGCAGGGCTTTTGTCGATGGAGCTCATTTTGCTTGGAGACCTGATTTACAGATCTACAGTACCTAAAGTATTATTTTTGCCAGGAGAAGCTGTATCTCTTTGCGGGGGGATGTGCTCTGGGTTACCTGTAGCGGCAAGTCTGTCTTTTCCTCGCATACATATCGTGTCTGCAGACAAGCAATTCATTAATTGTGATAGCTCCAGTTCATACGGTGATGCTGTTAGTCCTGAAGCTGAATGTAAACAGAGCTCTTGCTGTCAGTTTAATTCCTCTGTCACCTAAAGCAATGAGCAATTGGGAGTTTCTGCATGGGGAGGGTTTAGAGTGAAAAGAGCTGGGGATGGAGGGGAAAAAGGGAGATGTGATGGGAAGGGGGAATTTATCTTTGAGCTCTGTTACAAATGGTCGCTCCCAGGCTGTGCGGTGGCTAACGCCGTGCTCTGCCCTTGACTTGGGTGGAAATCTCCCTTTTGACACAAGTCCTGTGGAATTTGGTGTTTTACAACAGGAGCTGCGCAAACAATCCCCTCTTTAATAGGCTTGGATAAATCAAGGTTTTATCAGACTCCTGCACTGGCTGAAGTCTTGGCTTACGTAAAGCCTTCAGAAAGGGATTTAGTGGAAGGTGTGCCCCTTGGGTAAACATACCTGAACTGCTTTGGTGGAGCTGCCTGGTCCATCTGCCACGCCTGCAGCTTGCAGGACTGCAGGGCGCTGCAGGCGGGATTAGTGTGTGACTTTCTATGGGCAGTTTTATCTCATATCCTTCCCGTTGCCGCCCCTCTTGTTTACTTGCAGTCAACAGTTGGGGCAGATACGGGATTTATTGTCTGACCAGAGCAATCTACTACCACTCATTCCTTTAAGTTGCCAGCTGCTTGCTGTCTCTTCTGCCGCTATCTGCTCTCAGGTTTGACAGGCTGAGCTGTCTAGTGTCCCTCTCCATCAGGGAGCAAACTTGCCTTTCTGATTCCTTGTTTCAGAAGCGCAGAAGCTGCATTGCTGCTGTACAATCTGAATAGGACACCACTGGGCTCTGGTTACCTCTTGCCAGCTACATCTCTCACAGAGCGTCACAAACCTCCGCTGTGTTCGTTTGCCACCTCTTCGCATTGGAAGTACTACCCTCCAAGGGGTGTTTATCTGAGATGTGTCCAGCTGGACTGTTTCTGAAGCTTTCCCTCCTTCCGTGAGATGCAGGGTTGACTAAGGGCACTTGCACAGTCTCGTTAATGGAGGTTTTTTCCCAGTAGTGAGGTAGGAACGTGCTGTCTGCAGTGAAGTCAGAGCACACGTGCCTCCAAAGGGAGCTTGCAAGACTGGTGTGAGTCATTAAACATTCCCCCCCCCCCCCAGTTTGTTTTGTGTGTGTGATTCTTGAGCTTGTTTCGACTTGGATGCCTTGACAGCAATTAAGCCAAAGCTTAGTGGTTGCAAATGCCTGACTGTCATCGGAAAGACAGCGGGATCCCAATGGGTGGCAGTAGGTGCTCGATGGATTCCATCAGCAAAACTCACCTTTACCATGCATCTGTCCCTGGGGTCCCCAGCCTTGCCTTTGCTTGACCAGCTGCCAGCTCTTTTTTGAAGGTACTGAAGGTACTGAGGATGCCTTTGTATTGCAGCTTCAAGTGTTAACGCAGCGGGGCTGGTGAGAGAAACCAGATTAGAGGTTTGGGTGGCTTGCCAGCTTTGGACTGTGCAATCCTTGGGTGAAGCTCTGGTCAGTACCCAAGCTGGGCTGGTTACAATATCCACACGTACAATTCTCAATGCAGGAGTTTACTCATCAGCCCCAGCCATGGCAAAACGTGCTGCCAGAGACACAATCGGGAACGTGTGTGTGCCAGATACGTGCTTTGTGGCTAGCTAAGCAAATATATCATGTTGCATTTGAGTATCTGTTATCGCAGCTGTCCTGGGCACGCTTTCCAGGCTGGCTTCTAGCTGAGACCTACAGCTTGTGGGCTCATAGCCGAGTCCAGCAGTTGCTGGACAGCCCAGCAGCATGGCAGTATCTTATTCATTGACTTCTGAAAAAACATACCTTTGTGTTAATTTTAAGTACAAGGCTGAGTCTGTGACTAAGGAGATGGAGAGAGACTGACTGCTGAAGACGGTAGACTGTGGGAGAGCCAGTGACAGATGTGGGCTCTTTATTTAGGATTAGTCCTGATTCACAAAACTTTGGCGTGTGTCCAGGTAAATACAGTATCCGTGCAGACAGGAAACTACCGCTGTAATCAACATGTTGAACAAAGGTATTTTGCAGGCATAAACTGTTTCCTAATCCAGCGTGTGAGCATGGCCACTGAGCAGACCCTAGAAGAGGAGGGTTGCTGCTGAGTTGCAGCAACACACCCACCCCAAGCATCTGGCTGGTGTGGGGTCTCTCAGCTGAGGCTCACAGTTAAAGCACACGTGTCTCTAAATACTTGCTAATGGATTTCTTGTCAGTACAGTTAAATACAGAAGCGTCACCTGGGGGAATAGTTCTGCCTTTTGGAGCCTTTTAAAATGCTCTTCAAATGAATCTTTCTTATACAGGAAAGAAGTTTTTTTTAAAAAAGGGAGCGATTGTAGTCTTTGTTGTGATGAATGTTGTAGGTTTGACATTTGAGAAGAGGAAGGAGTAATTTGAAAAAATCAGAAATTTTTTTTAAAGTTAAAATCCCTTCAGTCAGCTGAGTTGTTTTGGAAGGAAGGTTGGGGGGGTGGGGGAAGGAAAAGGTGTGGGAGTCAAAAAAAGTGACTCCATTGCCATTAATCAAGTCTGAGTAAATCGTTAATGTTTAGTTCCCCAACAGATCTGCCTAAGGTGGCATTGTATAGGCTAGCAAGATGTCCTTTGCCATCAGGAGACACAGCCTCTGGTCAGTCGTAGAAGGGCTGGCTCTCCCGAGTACGGCGTCGACCTGCTGCAGAGCAGCTTGCCCCAGGGACGTCAAAGGGAGGAAGACCCCCAGGGAAGGGGAGGTTGTGTTAAGGGGAGTTCTTTAGCCTGGCTGTGGCACTCAGCTCCCTGTTAGGTGATGCTGTGTTTTGCTGGTGTGTAATGGTTGGTCCAGTCTCTGCTTTGGATCATGAACTGCTGGGTTCCTCCATTTTTGATGTCCTTTTTTCTCTCCAGGCGTCTCGGTGCTGAGCTTGGGAAATCTGTGGTGTACCAGGAAACCAATGGAGGTAAGAGAAATCTTTGCTATTTGCAACTGTTTTGAGATAATCTTAGAAATACTGGATAACTCCATTGGCCAAACCTGTCTTAATGAGTGCAGTAATTCAGCTGTGATGTTACTGCTGTTCCTGGCAGTGCTAAACCTCTGTGTCTGACCTTGAACAAAGCAATTAAATGTGCTTCTTGTTTTCCCCTGCTATCTCATTTGTCTGTCCATCAGCTAATTCTTGCCTAAAGGAGAGTCCTACCTCCAGTGTTAGCTGCTAGAGAATCTTTTATGCTCTTGTGCTTAGCAAAACATCTCCCAGGTTTAAAAGTAATGGCCTACTTTCTAAGTGTCTGCCTTGCAAACTTTTAAATTGGCCCCCTTCTCCCAGCCCTCTGCTGCCACAGGCAGTTTACAGCTGCCCTAGCAAGGACCTGTCCTCTTTAAAGAGTGCAAATTCAGGGCTGTGCTGGGGAGTGTGCCTCTTGGAGGTTGCTTTCATCTCTTTAAATGTAGCAAGTGTCCGTTTTCAGATACTGGGCTAAACCACAAGGATATTGGCTAACAGTTCACTGGCTAAGAGTCACCTACTGTTTCAAGACCTCGGTTACCTTATTTGCAAGAGAGACTAAAACCAGAGAGCTGGTACAGGTGAGAGGAAGGGATAGAAACGGTGCTGGCTCGGCGTGAGGATTTATGATAGCACTGCCGCTGCTCTTGCAGGCGGAATGGGCCATGCGGCGTGCAAGCTGCCGTGGTTATGGTTGGGTTGGCTGTTGCATTCGTGCTAGTGAGCACTCACTGCCCTTTGGGGTTAGTTTTAAATCAGGTCGCTTGCTACAAGGTCTGAAGTTGTTCCTCATCACTGCACAGCAAATCAGTCTGCTTTCAGCAGAGTCCCTTCAGGTTACTGCCAGTGCCCAGGCAATTAGACTTTGAATTCAGTAGCTGGGTAGATATTTTGCTCTTTTCGCTTATCCGTGCCCTCTGGTTCACAACTGTGTAGGAAATGAGTGGCTAAGACAGGCACCTCAGGAAGCCTGGTGTCATTGCTTTGGCTTTGCAGAGCTGCTTTGGGGCTCGGCTTTTGCATTAGAGTCTGGGGCTGTAGGAATCGTGTTCAGCAGAGACCCAGGTTTCCAGCTCAGTGTTGAAATGCCTTCACCTTGGTAATGAAGTTGGGGAGTTCTCCCTCTGAACCCTGTGCTGCTAGTGTTGCCTTGGGCTATGTGTCCTGTATGGAGCTGAGGGGCCATGGAGTACCAGAGGTTGTTCTGCTTTGGGTGGTTCATTGTTCACTAATGAATGTGGTATTGACAGCTTTCAGCACTTGGCACGGAGAAGTGAAAAGGAGCTCTCATTGAGAGTTAGGTAATTGTCTTCTATGTGTAAGAGAACAGCTATTTTGTGTTGTGAATACAACTAACTCGCTGGTATGTCATGTGAGCTCTCTTCAGAACCAGCCTTTGGAAAATCCACTTGGCTTATCTGTGTGTGTGTAGCCGGTGTATGCGCAAAGGGCAAAGGAGCAAGTCCTCCTCTGCTCGGACTGGTGGGCAAAGTTGCTGCTAAAACATAGTGTGTTATCAGTGTAAATCTGATGTTTGGAAACAAAACTGACTGTGTTTTCAATCTCTTCAGAAACGAGAGTTGAAATAAAAGAGTCTGTCCGGGGACAGGATATCTTCATTATACAGACAATCCCCAGGTAAGGGACTTGTGGCTCGGTTTTACAGGCTTGCTGCTAGCCAGCATGATAACCGGTCTCTTTCCAGTGTTATCATTGCTTTGCCTTACATTTAAGATACCACATAGTGTTAAGCTGTTAAAATTCCCAGAGGATCGCTTGTGGCACAGCAAACTGAGAAGCTTCCCATCAAATAGCTTAAGTGTTTCACTTGAGGCAAGAACAAGTATGACTGATGGCTTCAAGTGAAACATCCTGGGTCTGGTGTCCTTGCAGGCTCAGTTGCTTGGTGATTTCTGACTGGTGTTTCTATTTCAGGATGTGTAATTTCCTCTGCCTTCCAATGACCAAGCAGCGGAGCCAGCAACAAACAGCAGGCTGGATTACTCTTCCCTTTCACTGTAGTGGTGTGAAACTGAATTCAGGTGGAAGCCCATGGCTTCCCTCCTGTACTCTTACAGTTCTTAATGATCTTGGGTCTTTTTTTAAGTGAGGCTATTTGGTTGTTATTTTGGGCTGTTCTATCCTTGGAGTAAGAGGAAAAAGTGCTGTGAGTAACCAGGGGCCTAGAAAACCAGCTGCTAACCCTGGGAACCCTGCTGCTCGCTGGCTGAGGAAGAGTGTAGCGAGATCGCGGTAGGATGGTGGGAAGGGAGTCTACCTACAAATGATAACTGCAAAATGTCCAACTGTGAGTAAGGAGGTGCTGTTTTCAGAGATGCGGTGTTGATAGGATGCCTTTTGCACAGTTAAATTCTGCTCGGATTTTGAAGATCACAAGAACTAATAAGTATCGGAGCTCAAGCAGGTAGCAGAATACCCTTGAAACAGAATTTTTCCTTGCTTGCCAAAGACACAGAGCCCAGGGAGAATTCAGGTTCATTTCCTCTTTGTAATGCTTGGCCTGTTAAAGAAATCGGTAGGACTACAAGATCAGCTTACTGACTTCTGGAGTTCCTCTTGCAGGCTGAGACATTTTCCTAGAGCTCATCTCTCTCCAGAGAGATGCTCCAAGTGTTTCCTCCCTCGAGGAGCAGCTACATCTCTGCAAGATGAAAATCCACTGATGCAGGATTATGTTTCAGGTGAATAGTGCCATTCTGTTGTCCCTTGTGAGAGAGTTCTCTGAAATAACTTGTAACTGAGAGCTGTGTAAACATAAACAGATAAGGTGTTCAGAGAGAGATAACTCATAGCATTAGGGACACCAATAGTTTTGGGAGGCAGAAACCTCCCCTGCTTTTAACTTGTTGATCCCCTTGTTTTTCCATAAACTGAATTCAACGTTGTGGGCCGGGGAATGGATCCTTTTTAGCCAAACTGTCCAAGGCCTTCCAGGTGAGGAGCCACCATTGTGCAGCCAAGTCATCTTTTATACTTGAGCTGCAGCTGTGCCTTGCTGCATTGCTTCAGAGGAGAGGCTCAAGGGCATCTCAGTTTTGCAGTGGGTTTCAGGGAGCTTTTTTAGGAGAGTAAAAACAACAACTGTGAATAATCTGAGAATAGGACTTCTGCACTCAGTAGCGGTTTGAAAAGCAAACAAAACATTAGGACTTAGTAGGGAAGGAGTAGAGAGGGAAGCAACCTTGTTATGCTGCAGTGTGAATTCACAGTCTGCATCTTAAATGCACAGAGACCAGAAAGACCTGAAATATTTGATATAAGCTCCCTGACTAAAAAGCATAAAGCAGAACTAAAAAAGTTAAAGATGGGTATCGTCCAAGACTGTTGTGTGTGGACTAGCATTCATATGAGGGAAAACCAAACAGCTCATGTTTAGACTGCAGAAAAACAAAGCAGTTGGTGGTTTAGGGATACACTAAAAGCAAAAGTCTTTTAGTGCTGAGTGTTGGTGTTGGTTGTTGCAAAGTCAATTGGCAGCTTCACATAAGCCATTTGCTTGGCCCCTACAACAGGGATCTCCAAGGATGGCTCAGGCAGGGATGGGGAGCAGCAAGGAACGCTCCGGGCTGCTGGAAAGGGGTGGTAAATTGGGTGGGGGTATAGCTGAGCTGTCTTTAAATGTCCTGGTAACCTGCTGACAGTCCCTGTGTGTGGTCTTGGCTCAGGCTTTCCAGCAGTAACTCTGAACATGGCTGCAAGGCAGGAGGTGGGGTGGGCAGCAAGGAGACTGGGATGCTCTCCTGAGCACCTGGTTTGGAGATGCTGTGGCTGGGGTTCCACTGCAGATGTTATTTCCCCCAATTAGTTCCCACCCTGAGCCAGGCCCTTGGTTCAGGTCGGTGCCTGTTGCAGAGGAGCAGATCAGTGTGACGGCTGGCTCAGTGCAAAGCATCCAGGAGGGTGCTCCTCGCCTCAACAAGCTTCCCCAGCACACCCACCTTGGGCCCTGCCTAGTGCCTGTGCTGGCTGGTCTGCAGAGCTTCCTGGATGCCAGTGTGGGGTCCTGCTTGAATATTGAGAGGTGCTCCTCCTCCGGTAATTTCTCCATTGATATGGCTACCAGTGTCCTACAGCAGCACCAGGACTGCTGGTGTCTTTTGAAATCAGTGGTAACACTTTCTCCCAGGAGCAGTCTTGTTCTCTATCTGCTTTCCATGTCTCTCTCTATTTTTTTTTTTAAGAGTAATTTGAAAAATAATGAAGGAAAATATTTAATTTCTGGGATGAACTTTAAACAGGCTTAAACTTGGCCGCTTTGTTTTTATACAATACTGATAGCAGCATCTTTTTCTCCTCTCATGGCCTCACTGGCACAGCTAAAACACCAAAGGGAAGAAACAGTTCTTTGTTTGCTCGTTGTCCTACGTGGCAGGGGGCTATGTTTTATGTAATTCTTGGCTGGGTGCTTCAGAGCTAACAAAGCTTTCTTGTGTGTAAACGGCATTGTGCACGAGGGCTGGCGGGGCTAGTGGGTGAACAGAGACCCAGAGCGCTCACAAATGAAGAGGCACAAACAGAGGTTAATTTCTGAAGGAAGGGGGAGCAATGGAGAAATGGAAACGGTTAGAGGTTTGTCACGGGTCACACAGACAAGGGCTCGGAAAATGGCATCTCTGAGCTCGTGGGGAAGACATCCCCGGTGGTCAGGAGGAAAACGGGTCCTCGAGCACTGTCTCGGTAACATCCAAAAAGCTCTGCAGAGCTTTAAGCTGCTCTGTGCTGCTTATTCCTCTGCTGCTGTGTGGAAAGATGGCATGGTCAGCCCCTGCTCTGTCACCATGGGCTCCATGGCTGAGCCACCGCCAGTGTTGCCTTCATGGGGACCAGTCTGGGGAAGTGGTGTGTCATTTGAGGCTGTCTGTGCTGAAAACCCCCAAGCAAGGGTGTCTGCATTGCAGGAGGATTGCCTGTCCCTCTGTTGTCTTCTTCAGTTCCCAAATGGTCTTGAGTCAGTTTGTGACGATGCAGACAATGTCTCTTGGTGTTGGTTTTAAGGAGCTAAAGAGGGCTTGGCTTTTTTTTTCCCTTCCCAAAATGAATTAAAATGCAGATTAATACACTCCTCCTGGGCCATGCCAGTCATTATCATGAAGCTAATTGATAATGGGGGTTTACAAGTATTCCTTGTTGTGGTCTACAGATACATTCTGCCTATGTTGCTTTTTTTTTTTTTCTCTTTTTCTCTCAAGAAACACTCATTTAGCATTTACTGTTGTTCCTTCCATCTCTAGATAAGCTAGATAGCATGGAGATGCTGACCTCCACCAAAGTGATCCGTCCAACTTTGTACTGCTCCAAAATGCAGTATTTCTTAAGGCAGGAAAAATAACCTGCCTTACATTGTTAAAAATACCCTTATAAATCCAGTGTGGCTGAAGTTGCGTTGGCTGCATTTGTGCTGCTTCTTTAAAAGGCTATTTTATTTCAAAATACATTGTATGAAGTGACATTTGTTCCAACATATATAAAAAAATGCCTTTTTTTCTTGTGATGATGGAGGGAATTCATACACCTTGTGTTAGAATACAAAATCAAATTCCGGTCCATAGCTCTTGAGTGCTGGAATCGTGTCCTGTGCATAAACAGTTGATTGTAATGTGCTGTGGCATGATGGAAGGAGCTATATGATTACAAGCTGGGTCTTGCATACATTAGCATAAGATATAGCATTATTTACTTGGATGTTTGGTGAGGAGAGGTATGGGTATAAAAAGGAAAAGCAGTTGCATTGGAAAAACACCTACTAATATTTGGAATGGCTTTCAAATCTCCTAGAGATGTGAATACTGCTGTCATGGAGCTGCTGATAATGGCGTATGCACTGAAGACTTCCTGTGCCAGGAACATCATTGGGGTCATCCCTTACTTCCCCTACAGCAAACAGAGCAAAATGAGGAAGAGGGGCTCTATAGTCTGCAAGCTGCTGGCTTCGATGCTGGCCAAGGCAGGTGGGTGTTGCAGGGAGCAGCAGCATGGCAGGCTTGGACACTTCAGTGCATCCGGCTGCTGGGCGTCCCAGAGGGCGCCTGTCCTTCTGTTCTTCTCCCGTTTGGTGTGGGGACGTGCTGCCAGGCCTTTGAGCCACTCTGGGGGAATTCGTTTTCTTCAGCTTAATTTCATTTCTATGTAACTTGCACCTGGGGAGGTGGCCTAGAAGTGTCATCTTGAAATACAGTGGCAGCCTAGTGCTGTGGCTTATCGTGTGCCTGTTTCTCATTATGTCTTTGGAACTTTTTACGTTAACCTGTTTATGCTTATTTTATCATATGGCAGAACAGTCTGAGTAATAGCTAAAATAGTCTGGAAAATGGAGATATTAAAAGAACTCCAGCCATGTGGGAGTCATCTCAATGAATTGTTATCTTTTTTGGTTTTTTCCTTAGGTTTAACACACATTATCACGATGGACCTTCATCAAAAGGAAATTCAAGGCTTCTTCAGCTTCCCAGTAGACAACCTGAGAGCATCCCCTTTCTTGCTTCAGTATATACAGGAAGAAGTGAGGTTACTCTAGTTCTATATATATCAACTCGCCTTAACTCATCTTAATGTGATAGCAGCACTGGGCCTCCGCTTATGCAGAGGTTGTATTGTCAGGCTAGGTCAATTGTTCCGTTAATGAATTCCTTCTTAGGGGCTACCTATGGCATGTTTCTTAGGAAAGTGGGAAAATGTTATATTGTATGATTGTACCTGGATAGAAACTGAACTCTTGACCGTAAGCAGATGATGAGCTTGCTCTCTGTAGATTTAGTACCATTTGAGATGCTATTTATGCTTCTGCCTCTAATCACCTTTTAAACCCTGTTAAACTGTCTCCCCTTGCCCTTTGTTCTGCGGTGGATGTCTGACTGCTCTGAATTATTGATAGACTTTGTCTTCGGCTGAGGGTAGGAATGCTGAGCACAGCAGGGCTGGGGGCAGGGCATGGAGGTTTTATTTTCCATGTGCAAAAGATGATGATTTATGCCCATGTGGTGAGAGCAAGGCTTCCCCATATGGGCAGAGAGGGCCCTGGGTTCAGACCTTCCCTTGCAGACAGAAGAAGCTGCAGCCAGTCCATGTAGCCAAAGTTAAACATAGCGAACATTCCCACCTCTGTCCATTTTGAACACAAGGCTAACGCCCGCTCTGTGCGGGCACTGGGGCTCCACGTGCTGGTGAGAGCCAAGGCTTGATACCTCTGGCCCCCAAGGCCCTTCACTACCCCTTCCTTCACTGCGCTGTGTGTGGTGCCCTGTGTCTCAACCAACTGTGCTCACCACTGCAGAGCAGGCCATAACTTGTGGGCACCAGCAGGGAAGGAGGCAGAGAGCTGCACTCATGTGCAGGGTAGGACCTGCAGCATTGCCTGTACTAAACTTATTTGTGCTGTGTTTGGGGCAGAATGCACAAATTCTGGTGTGCAATTGCTTCTCTAGTTTCTTGCTGCAGAACGAAGATTGGGGTCTGGGGAGGGAGAGTGGGTGCAATTATTCAGCCACATATCAAATCAGTTACTTGCTAGCAAGAAAGTGTTTACTTAAATAATTTTTTTCATATCCAGATTCCGGATTACAGAAATGCGGTTATTGTAGCTAAATCTCCTGATGCAGCTAAAAGGTAAATGGATGCTTTACTAGCTGGTTAAAAGTAACTTGGAAAACATCTGGGCTGATGGGAAATACACCAGGAAAAACATGAGAAGGTCGCAAATGCATCAGCAATCTGGTCTGTAAGTCCTCTGTGGCTGGAAATGAGACGGACATCTGTAGCGGTGCAGATGGGCAGCTGAATTTTGCAGTCCTGAACCTGTGGGAGTAAACTCTGGAGGTCTCTGCTGCTGCAGAGCTAGGTGGTTCCCCTGGGGCCGGGATTAGAGTTACTGCATGAGTTTGAACAGTGCCTGACCATCTCAGAATACACTTAGCATGTGGAGGAATACCAGGAGACCCCTGTGGTGGAGCCAAGGGGCTTTGGGATATTGAGAAATAGAAAGTCGCTTCCAGCACAGTTTCTTGCTGGGGGACAGCCACAGAGGTGCAGCTTGCCCTGTTGGGACTGGGAGAGGCCTGCTGCACTGGGCTGTGAAGTTGCATCAGCCCAACATGTTCCTGACATGCTGTGGTTGTCCTGCAGGGCTCAGTCTTACGCTGAGAGACTACGGCTGGGACTAGCAGTGATCCATGGAGAGGCTCAGTGTACAGAGCAGGACATGGATGATGGACGTCACTCCCCTCCAATGGTCAAAAATGCAACTGTGCATCCTGGTCTGGAGCTGCCGCGTAAGATTAAGCTTCTCTGCTTACCTTTGGGCAAAAAAAAAGAAAAGTTTGGTGGGAAATTGCTGTTGGTTTAGCTGTGTAGGTATAACCAACCTAGCGGCAGTTGGACCAGTGGGATTTTTCTCCTGGAAAGGTTGATACCATCGAGTTATAGGAGAAGGTAGAGGGGAAGGTTTTTATTTAACTCTTTCCAGCCATGCAGAGCATCAGTATTGTTCTCCTTGGCTGTGCCCACTCAACAGTGTCAGATTGACAAACCTCTGATAAAGGTGATGATTTTACAGTGCTCAGCAACAAAACTCATTGAGCTAATGAATCAGAAAAGAAATGCAAAAGTGTGACTAACATGGGAACAGCCACTGAGACAGGCTGCTGTCCCCAATGTGAAGGGAAGGCTGGCTTTTGTCTTCCCGTCCTGCTGCAGCCATTGTTACTGCTGGAAATTTTCTTCATCTTGGCAGCCAGGTGATCATGTTCCAGTGTCTGTTTTGGCAAGGTCTGGAAGTTTGTGTGGCTATGGTGAAGAGTTTCTCCGAGAGCATTGCTGAGCTTCGTCCTGTGCTCTTGCCATTGATTGATAAGTTGCTGATTTGGGAGCACAGAGCAAAGGAAAAAGGAGGAAACGTGTGTTGTAGGAAAGGCCATCCTCTTAGGATTGCTTGTATTCCTGCAACAGCAGCAGTCATGTAACAGCAGTGCAGTCAGAATCCAACTCCCTCTTGAGAGGATTTTAGCTTTCTAGGTAGATGGTGGTAGGACAGAAATTGAGCGCAGTGAGTGTGGCTGAGAAGTGACCGTGGGAAAGGATGCGTGCTGCTGTATGTAGTAAGGAGCTATCCATCATGCAGCCAAACTTAATTATACCAGTAGTGGCTAGGGCTACTGATAAGCGTCTCCTCTTGTCTTTTGAAGTTTAGGGAAAACATCTAACCGGTTTGTGGGCAGGTCGTGGAAGGGGAGGCAAGTAAAACTACAGGCATTTTGTTACCCCAGCCATCACTCACTATAATACAATCAGTTAAACAATGCTTATGTTGCTGGTGAAACTCCTCTTGGGCCTTGGGGGACAGGTGGGGCTTGGCAATGACGTTTGGGACTTATCTTGATTGTCCCCTTTCTGACAAGGGGTTTTTTTTTTTTCATGCCCTTCTAACAAAACAGGAATTTGCGTGGCTACTCTTGGCCTTTTCTTTCCCCTCCTACAGGATGCTGTCCTCCAAAATATCACTAGCTGACATTTGTCTGCTACCAGGGCATTGATGTGACTGTATTTTCATTTCCAACCATGTCACTTTAAGGAAGCTCAACTGTGGCAGCTGGTGCTGCTGCAGAGCCCTGTAAATGGTAGCTCATACAGAAACATGCCTTTGTCCAGTTTAGTTATGATTCCAGGGGAAAATTGTTTTCAGGCCTCAGCTATCCAAACACAAACTAATTTGCTGTCTATGACCACTTTCCTATTTTATCTCCTGCAGAAACTCAGCACTTGACTAATGACCTTACATTCCTGTGTGCCTAAGGCACAAATGTAAAACAATCAAGCTGTGGCTTGGTAGCTGTCTGTCTGTGAGATGCAGGGTGGATTATGGGGTAAACTTGTCCAAAACTGTCAGCAGAAAGTTGCTTTTCTCTCCAGTTTTCTAATCTGATAGACACCTCATTTTGAGTGAGCTGGGCTCTATTACTGGAAGTGCAGAATACTGAGGTAATACCTGTCTAAAAGCAGTCTGTAAGCTTCTAGTGCATCCTGGTTGTGTCGCAGCCTCTGCTGTGGAGCTGCACTCTGCCAGACAAAGGTGAAAATGTAGCTGGGGTTAGGGATGGCAATGCTGTGAGCCGTCTGTACTTACCCTCCCTGCTACGCCTCCTTTCTTGTCCGATTCAGTCATTTGAAAAGTGTTTTCCCACCTCAAGTGGCACATCAAACAAAGCCCTTGACCAGCTCTTCCTGAGGTGTGTACCATCACCAGCAATCCTGGTGGTGTAAGGTTCTGATGGCAGAGGGAAGCAGGTTTCAGCTATGTCCCCGTATTGTTGCTTGTGAAAGGTAGGACATGTGCAACTCACCCAGAGCTGTTTGCGTCCTTACACCAAAACTGGCCAGAAAAACCTCAGGTTGTCGAAACAGAACCAGTCTTCAGGTCTGCCTGGCTCAGCTACCGCAAAGCTGGGTCTGGGCAGTTAGAAGGTGGGGTTACTCCTGGAGGGTGGCTGAGAGTAACCACGGAGCATCCTGCCCTGGGCTACAACCAGATCGGTGTGCAGCATCCTATCCTCCCGCTCTAGACTCTGCAGTTCAGGGTCCCTGGCAGTTGTTTTACAGCCAGAAGAGAGGCAAAACCCGTGTCTGAGAGCAGCCCCAGAGCCCTACAGCGATGACTTACGCTTTACGCCATTCTTCACGGGCTTCCTAGTGAATTGGCTGGACTCTGCGTCCTGGCATGCACAGTTTCTCCCTATTCTAGTAGAGATCACGTGCCTTTAATTAATGAGTGTTGTGCAGTGTAATGGCTTATTTATTGTCCTGAGAGTGTAGCCTGATGAGATACTCTGATTTGGTGTCATATGGAGCCGTAACAGAAAAATGCCGAAGGTGCCTCCAATTGTACTTAAAGTGCTGCACTAAAGTGGCAGCAACAGCTCATGTCACTCAAAACCCAGAAATCTGAGCCTTTGAGACAGGATGTCACTCCAAGGTTATTCTCTTTGATTGTGCTCTCTTTGTGTCTCAAAGCTTGCAGCTGGCTTGGGGCTGTGCTTTAACAAATGTGTGTGGACTCTTTGCATGTTTCCTCATCTTGGAGAAAGGAGCGGAGCACCATCTGTTAAATCATTTGAGTGACTTTGAAATTCAGTACTTTATACAGGTAGCTAATGGTCTGCTTCAAATCCAGAGCCAAGCAAACTGCCACGAAGGAAGAGAGTTTGGATGGAAAACTGGAGTGGCTGTAGGTCTGTTCTTACTTCCCAACCCCATCTCTTTCTCGTGTTTAGGCTGGGCCCAAGGATGTTATCTGTACTTCCAGGTCTCTCTCTTCACAAAACAGTTCAGTCTTGAGCAGCCTTTTGCTCATAGACTCTGTTGTAAATGCAGCATTCTTTTTCTTGGTGATTATCACTTTAATGCACACTGTCAGCTCCAAACAGAATTTGTTTCAGCATTTCTTAATCCATTTTTGACTGCTTAATTAAAGCAACAGGTTTATGCACCTGGGAATGCTGTTTCTTCGTGCCAGTGATAATCTCACCTTTAATGCCTGGTACTTCGGTACTTCAAACGCCTGGTACTTCACATCAAAACGAAAGTGCAGATTAGAGTGTTTGGCTGATGAATTTATTTCCCCACCACCCCTCAGTGTTCTTTGATATTCTTGTTTTGTAAAAATGGTGGTTGGTTTTTTTTTTCTCTTTTCTTTATTTTCTCCCCTCAGGAGCTACAGATACCACGAGCATCTTTTCTGACTCTCCAGAAAAAAAAAAACAGTGACTCTTTTAACCTAAACTCATACGTAATCTAAGGCTTTATGCCAGGCAGAAGGTACAGCTGTGGCCTATTTCTGTTGCCCTCTTTTGTCTACGTACAAACAGAGGGTTTGTGTCTGGGAGGAAGATGTTCTTTATTATTTGAATCATTTTTCAAGCCACCTTCTCATAGCAGTTCTGACTTGCACATAGGTCTGAAGATTTTGAAGAAAAAGAAATTGGGCTGCAGTAACCCTTGCATAAGCTCTCATCACATTGGAGCCATTCTCTTGAGATTTTATGTGGTTGTGGATAGATCTTTGGCTTGCAATTTTTTTTCTTTTCTTTGCAGAGAAAATTGAACAAGAAAAAGGGAGAACATCTCTTTAGGAACCGGGTAGGTCGACATGTTGCCTACCATACTTCAAAAATAAAGCAAAATTGAAATACAGCATTTAAAAACAGACAAAGAGATGTGAAGCCCTGCTAGTGTTGCTAGCTGCTGTGTTAGCCTTTAAGCATAGCAAGGAATGTGTCTGCTTCCTTTATGGAATAGAAGGATACTGATTTGCTGAAGTTTTGTGTGTTTGTGAGTAAAATAGTGCTGAATTTCAGCTCCCTAGGCCTGTTCACCATTTGTTTAGAAAAGAGTTTGCCCTAGCCTGGCTGTAGTAAACAGAAATGGTACTCATCCATGGATGCACGCTAAGGATGGGATGGCAGCCATATGTAATCCTTTTGGTATTTCACAGTTCCCACCAGGAGTAGTTTTGTTACTGTCCAAACTAGATAATAAATAACTAATCTTAGCAGGTAGGTGGTGCCTGTAATTGAAATTTATGGTCTGCTTATCTCTTGTGACGCTTAATCCTAGTTCATTACAAGTACTCTTCCTTCTCAGAAGAATATTTTCCCTTCAGGATTTAGACGTGACTTTGCATTTGATAGGAGACTCAGAAATAACAATGCATGGGGGGCTGGGGAATATGTGCTCCAAAGAGCAATTATCTCTTAAGTCCAAGGTAGCGGTGACTTTAACTGCAAAACCTAGCAATGATTAATGTAACTTTGGTCAAAACAGAACTATTGGACACCTTTTATACAGTTTTGGTAGGCTTATGGAAAACCAGTCTGTGGAGTAGGTTGGGTATATGAAGAACAGCTCTACACGTGAATCTTCAGAGCTGTGGTCCTTGTAATTGCTTTCATCGCATCCTTCAGTCTGACTCACTCACCCAGCTGTGCTTGCACTCTAAGCATTCCCAGGCACTGAGGAGTTGTGGGAACAGCACTGGATCAGCTTGCTGTGCAGGATGGGGAGTTTCATGTAGGACTTTTTTGACCCAGGAGGGCAGAAATCAATATTCAGACAGACTTTTTGATGGGCAATGGCTTGTGTTGTCATGCTGCTCAAGTATTATATTCAAGTAGGTTATCTTAAAGGAGAAAAATCTTGCTATCTAGGGTGTCAAAAATTCCTTGGCACTTGAGAAGCCTGTGTGGCCAGAATCCTGGCAAGACCTGAGCTTATGAAGAGGAGGGGTACAAAGTGCCTCAGTAGGACACTTTGTGGCAGTCCTCATAGAGACCATAAAATCTGGGGGGTGCAGGTGGGCCAGGTAGGTGTTACAAAACGTTGGATGTTCCTCTTTGCTTCAGTGGTTAGATCAGCCCAGGTTATCACCTAATGATATGTGCATGCCCACCACCCTGTCCTTTCTGTGCTGGGAGGCTTTTTCACTGCCTTCACTGTATAAACCAGCACCCTTTGGGAATTGAGAGGTTTGGCTTACGGACAGCAGGTCCCTGGCCAGTATTGGAGGCTGATTGCTGTTAGGGATGCGTCTAAAGACTGTGTTGCATCTGGACACTCAGTGCATCCTGCTTCATGTCTCTGTTATTTTTTTATACTGCTGCTGGAAGTTTTTCAGGATAAAGGATAAAGCCTGTTACACGTGTAGTTTTTGCATGAACCATGTCAGTGCAAAAGTAGAGTCAGGAGGGAGTGGAACCTTTATTTCCCAATACATCTCTTCACCATGTGTCAGATAGCACAGCTCCTCAATGTATCCTTTTGCTTCTGATGGCTGGTTGCACTGAGCTTGTAGAACTGAGTTGGATCTGGATTTTGTCCTGCTCTTTCCATTAATCCACATTGGGGGGGGGGAAATCAGCAAACTTGCTTCTGCAGACTTCCTTAAGCTTTCTTTGCCTGAGCAAGTATTGTTAACATCCTTACGCCCTCTGAAAGAGCCTTGTGTGCTTGGCGATATGAGAGAAAGCAAGTAAGCTGCAGTGTGAGTCTCAAATCCTTCAGATGAATTAGTGAGTCCGACAGGTGAAAAACTGCACCTTGTAAAGCATAAGCCCTTTGAGAGGTGTTGCTTGGAGAAGCCTGTTTGTTGTTCCCAATCATGAGATACCCCTTTTTTCAAGTCCTGTTCTGGAGCACAAAGAAAGTCACTGGTATTTCCCACGAAATAGGTGCTGCTTTGTAGCTCTCCTTGCACAGGAGTCTGTTAGATATTTGGACTTCTTACTGTTTCTGAGGTCAGTACAAGGTCCCTGCAGAAACTGAGTTTCGTCTTTATGCAGCAGTGTTAATCATTTGAGGAGGAAAACGATGGTTAAACCAATGGTTACCCACTTGGGTGGCAGGATCGTGTAAAGCACGTGTCTGTATCTGTGCACCAATACAAGATGCAGTTATGGGTTGGGCCTCTTGTGTGGTGGAGCTGTTGCGGTTTGACTCAAGGCTAACTGACCTGGCCTTTTTTTTCCTTCTTCTTTAGTGATGATGGCCAAGGAGAAACCACCAATAACTGTGGTTGGAGATGTTGGAGGAAGAATTGCCATCATTGTGGTATGAGTGTGATGGGGGGTGGGGGGGTGCTTCCTCCCAGCATCTTTTCTTGAGCTGCTTTATCCCAGAGAGTAGGAGGGACTGCTGGTGTAGGGGTGGGAACATGATTGTTACCACTGTTTTGTGCAGTTTGCTGGTGGCTTTGGTTATTTCAGCTTTCTGTTGAAAACCCTTTGTATATTAGCAATTTAAGCCCTGAAATCTCCTTGCTCCATTGAATCTACAAATGTCAGATGTCTACAAATACTCAACAAATCCAGGACATGCAGAGAAATTTCCTGAAGCATTTGAAAAAAACCCAACCAAACAAAAAAACTTGCTGAGCTTCTCATACTTGCTCTGCCGTGCTGCAGTGTAAGTAATCAACAGGCAGCTACTATCATCATGAAAAAAATACCTTGATGAAGATAAGCTCTGTTTGTGTGTGTGCACGTACAGGGACTAATTTGTTTCCAAGACACAATATTCGTTTTGCACGCTAGCAAAAGGGTCTGTAAATTAGAGAAATGGCATTCACAGCACGTGGCTGTCCTTGCATCTTAACAGCAGCTGAAGTAGCCAGGGATTATTTTTTTTCAGCTGTGTGCATGGCCAAAGCTGCAGTACCTTGCAGATCCACTCCTGCTTTGCAGGCCTGGTAAACTTCTGGTTTTGATGTTATTTCTGTTTCTTCTCAGGATGATATAATCGACGATGTGGAAAGCTTTGTAGCTGCTGCAGAGATCCTGAAAGAGCGCGGAGCCTACAAGATTTTTGTGATGGCTACTCATGGGCTCCTGTCAGCAGATGCCCCCCGTCTCATAGAGGAATCCTCCATCGATGAGGTGCGTCTGCTTTCTGGACTGTGGAGGAAGGGCTGGCTCTGGTGGCCGGGTTGATTTAAGGCAACAAAACCCACAAACTGATGTTCTTCCCCTGCCACAGAGCTCCTCTCTGAAATGACTGGTTTCATCAGATGCTTTCAGTTAGCTGGTTTTTCATTGAAAAAAAAAAAAAAAAAAAAAAAAGCAGTGTGTGTGATTAATACTTGTTCAGATCAGATCTGCTTCTCTGTGTATGTTTTCTCCCCAGTGCACAGATATTAGTCAGCCCTGCCTGGACACTTCCCTTACTGCAGCTGGGTGCATGTGACTGCTTCCTCACTGTACAGACCTTCTACCTGTCCCTCTCCCCCAGCTGATGACGGGCTGTTGAGTACATTAAGAGGATAAGATTTCAAATCTCACCCTTAGTAACAAACATGTCAGATCCTGTGATCTAAATGGACCCATCAGCCTGTGTGGAGGTGGCTATTGTAGGGTGCTGGTTATGCTGGCCCCTTCAACAGGTTGACTGTCACGTGGGGGAGACCATTTATTTTAATCTTTTTTTCCTAACTTACAAGGATTTCTCCCCCTGAATTGTGAAACAGCAGGTATGCACTGCTTGTGGAGTTAGTCTAGGGTAGCTGTTCAGTGAGAGCGAGAGTATTGGCAGCACAACTAATGGTCTTTAATGGTCTTTTCTTTCTGGCACTCCATAGGTGGTAGTAACCAACACAGTTCCTCATGAGGTACAGAAGCTGCAGTGCCCCAAGATAAAGACTGTGGATATCAGTTTGATTCTCTCTGAAGCCATCCGACGAATCCACAATGGCGAGTCCATGGCCTATCTGTTTCGCAACATCACTGTCGATGACTAGACCTGGTGCTGCCCCTGTCCTGGCTTCCACAAGAGAAGGAAATATGCATGAAAAGGCAATACCATAAATTATAGGCATAACACAACTGTTTATTCTCGTAGGAGCGTGAAGGTTTTCAGGGTCTTGAGCCATGAGATCTAATAGAAAAAAATCAACCTGACCAGCACTTTACAGGTGAATGGAAGAGGCCATTGGCAATGGGGAGGATTATGTCTTAATTGAGGGAGAAATGAGGTGGTGTTGAATTTTTAAGTTCCTTTTTTTTTTTTTTTTTTAGGGTGTTACTCTTGCCCTGTAGGGAGGGAAAGAAAAGCAAAAAAGAAGTAGCTATCATCTTATGAGAAGGGAATAGAGACTGCTCATTGCTGCGTGTGGGCAGCAAGAGGAAACAGCCTTTAGGTTTCTGTTTCTGACTGTGACTCGCCTGAGAGCGCAGAAGGGAGTGCTTTGCTCAGGCAGCTGGGCAGGACTGCTTGCTGCTGGCAGAGCTGAGCAGCAGAGCAGCTCCTTGCCAACTGAGTGGCCTCGCATCTCTTGCACAGCATAGCGAGGACTTTCATCAAAACTAAGTTAGCGGAACATCCAGAAAGGACAGCTTAGGGCAACCCATTCGCAGGGCTGCTTGCATCCTTGTGTCGGGGCGCTGGGAACAAGCTCACGTGTTGTCTCCCAGCAGGGCAAGGGGTGCTAGTTAACGTGCTGGCCTTTTCATTTCACAAGCCTTGGTTCATTATTGTTCTTCAGTGGCAAGTCGCATGAGGGTCTAGGTCCTCCCTTGAACGCTTGTCTGCACTGCAAAACTGGACGCAATTTCTGGAGCTGCCTGGGGCTGATGAGTCGTGGCAGTTTGGTGGGGACGGGGAGTTGGAACAGTATCTGCCTCTAATGCAGCTGTGTTCTCCAAAACACTAACACTGAACCTGCAATAAAAAGCATAGGATTTTTCATTCTTGGTGCTTCCCATGGACCCTGTACCCTCTGAACGGCTGCTGTGTCTGTACTGCGGGGCTGTTGCTGTGAACAGGCTCGCTTGGCAGCTTGCAGCCTTCTTCCACGGGGAAGCAGGACTCTCACTGCTTGTTCCCTTCTTGAGTGACGCTGACCCTTGGCTGGAGGGGACGCTTGAGAAAGCCGCACAAGGTGCTTGTGAAGGGCTTTGTCTCCAGGATGATACAAGAATAAATTCCCAAACTGTGATCTTCCCCCTTGATGAGGCTGACAAATGTGCTCCAGTAAAACCCACACCACTTTCTAGCCTGCTGATGTGAGGAACAAATCCTTGGAGGCAGTTCCTTCAAAAGAGCACTGCTGACGATGGGCTGTCTCTAGCAGGCCCTTGTTTAGTTTTGCTTGTCCTTCAACTTCTGCCTACATCCTTCTCCTCCGCTCCAGCATCTAAAACATGTATGGTGCCGAGAGGCAGGCAGTGACTCTCTGAGCAGGATGAGCTTTGAACACCAGGCAAACAAGCGTGCCTCGGTACAGGGGTGTTTGTTTTGCAGAGCAGTGTCCTGTCTCCTAGGTGGTGAGGGTACACGAAAGCCTGGAGTGTTGGGTTGTCTCCAGTATCCAGCACAGCTTAAACCTCCTAGCCAAATCCCACAAGGGATGTGCAGGGCTGGATGGTTTCCAGCATTTTTTAAAATACTATGAACAAACCCCCCAGAACAATCCCAGGTCTTTGTGACCACAGCATTGGTCCTGTGCTGTAAGGATTCCTGAATGTGTTGACTGATGTGTGTGGAGTCCTTGCAGATGTCGGTGTGCCCCCTTGTTTGAGCCAGTACTGGACCACGCTCTTCAAACTGGAAACCAGTGTTAGAAATGTGAGCAGTATTGCTCTTCTCTCCCTTGAAACTGCTTGCCAGACCTGCCAGAAGGTCAGGGCTTGTTGAGTGCTGTTGCCCCATTCAGGCTTGCTTTTACTGGGCTGTATTTGGGTAGAAACTGTGGAACCACGGCACCAGCGAGCAGAGAGGGTTCTGTCCGTGTCCCCTGGGTCATCCTCAGGACCACAGCCCAAGTCATCCTCAGGCTTTGCTTCAAACCTTACCCTGACTGGAAGCCAAAAGCAGTTGGCTAAGCCAAAGTCAGGAGATGTCAGGTCTCAAAAGTCCCTAACTACTCTGAGAAAACTGGTACCTGTATTCACCGAGCCCCCAAAGGCCAGGGGGAGATGATGGGTTGGGGCTGCCTGACCTGACCCAGCCTGGACCTAGGTCGCCATCACAGCAGCATCGAACCTTCTCCCTTCTGCCCCAAGATCCTCCCCTTGCTGTTGCTGTACTATTTTAGGGGTCTTACAGCTTCTCCTGCCAGTCCTGTGTGCTGTCTAGAAAGCTTGGCCGGTCCCTGGGTGTAGCTCGAGAGCTCCTGAGCCTGCAGCTCTGCCAGTTACTGGAGCGAAGGCTTAGGAGCCCTCGTAAGAGGGTTAGTTTCTTGCCTCAGTTCATCTTGTTCCCATCTCTTAATCTCCCTCTATGAATTCAATCCTCCCAGCTTGGAAAAGAAAAATATACCCCCAGGGAGCAGATGTATACGCTTTCATTTTAATGCCTGAAAAGAGGGGGCTCTCGTGTCTTTTAGAGGAGCAAGGTGTCTGTTCTGTTTCCTGCTTGCCCACCCTCATGCTTTCTTGGAAATTGTCATGGAGTCCCTCCCCGAAGGAGGGAGGTGGCGGTGCTCTCGTTGCCTGATGGTCGGCCTGGGAGCTTTAAAAGGAAAAGAAGATTATTTTTGTAAGTATTTTGGATCGCTTGGGTTCAAAGATTTTTTTTTTTTTCCCCCCCAATGTTTGAATGCTTCCTAGTGTTGTCTGGAAGTAGGTGTTTGTCTGCGGTTGGTTTTCCCTGCTTGTGCGGCGCTCTGCTTTGGAGCGAGATGCTGGAAACCCGCCTGGCGATGCTGCCGCCGGCAGCCTCCCCCTCTCTCTAGGGGAGAGGGTAAAACTTGTCATGCTTTTGATACCTCAAAAAAAAAAACCCACCCCAAACCACCTAAACTGAGGTGTTTCTTTGCCGGGACTCGTTGCCTCCCGGGCAGTTTCACGCCGGCACGTGCGACCGGGGGCCGTCGTCTCTCTGCACATGGCGTGGTCCTCGCCCAGGGCCCGGGCTGCGCTGAGCTGCTTCAAAGCGTTTTGGGGATTAAAGGGGATGAAGGCAGCGGGGAGCCCCGGCGCCGGCCGCGCCCGCGGGCTGAGGCCCCGGT